TAAATATTTGGATGTAGTTAATTACACAGCTGCAAGCCTGACCCTGGGCAGCTGTTTATCTAATTTTGGTGGAGCCTATCCAGGCACTTGGTTATAGTACCTAAATTAGACAGTGTTTGGCACATGGATTTGAATTTCTCATGCCGACTTCATAATAAACCAGTAGGCCGTTGACTTGATTTAAAATGCAAAATTGAGTGCCGAGAAGAACCAGAATGGCTAATTTTTCTCAGAGCAGAGATATGTGTGAGATTAGTCATTTGGAAAGGGAAATGTACATGTTGCTCGGAGTGATGAGTAGGACAGTTTCTGTTATGCCCAAATGTTGAGCAGCAAAAGAGGTATGCACCGGAATGGGTTACCTAGGGAAGTAGTGGAGTCTCCATCCCTAGAGGTGTTTAAGTCTCAGCTTGACAAAGCCCTGGCCAGGTTGATTTAGTTGGGGTTGGTCCTGCCTGGGGCCAAGGGCTGGACTTGATGACCTTCTGAGGTCTCTTCCAGCTCTATGGTTCTATGATTCTATGAGTAGCAGACCGCTTGATTAAACACTGTATGCACATTCCTGTGGAAAGGGAGTACTCCTGGCACATCAGGTGTATATTAACCTCTTAGTCCATTGTGCCCAGCCTAATTTTGTTAGGTACAGCGGAACTGATGCAAATCTACTACTAAGGAGTCTGGCTTAATTAGGATTCTTGGAGCCTGTTCAAAGAGTCTTTGTTGTGGAACTTCATCTGTGTTGCTGCACAGAGGTAGTCTGAGATGAAAATACCAGTGGATCCATAACTACAAAGATCCATCATCCATTTCTCACTCTTCCCTTCTAGATTCTTTCATGGCCGTCATCTTTGTGGTATCTGAGTGGGCAGGAGAGGGGGTGTTAACTACAGTCCTATATTTATTTAGAACTTACATACCAACCATATGTTTAGAGCTGTACAAAACAGATTAAAAAGACAGACACAAAAAATCAGATCCATTTAGAAATCCAGAAGCAATCGCTCTAGGTAAACTTATTTAAATGTAATAAGTTTTTCACTTGAGACCTCACTGAAGTGAATCTTTTGGTGAGTGATGAATGAGCTGTAGGTGGCCTGTATATTATTCCAGGAGGCAGGCACCTGTGAATACTATACACAGAGTAGCACGGAAGAAAGCCCAAAGACAAGGGTGAGAAATTGATAATGGCTTTGGTGGTGGAATAAGAGGGTTAGGGAGAAATATCTGTGACAAGATCTGAAATAAAGTAGGAAAAGAGTTATGTAGCCTTTGAGGGCCTGAAAGGAATGTGGCTAAATTGTATACGGTGGACAAGAAAGGTACTCATTGGAGCAGGTTAGAAATGAGGTGACATGGTCTGGTTAGATAATGTTGGCTAATGCTTTTTGGACAGACTGGCTGGGAGAAAGCACACTATGGATATCAAGAAAATCAAAGAGGAGTTAAATAGTAATCAGTATAGAAAGTTACAAGGGTTTTGATTACTGTTTAAGCTGTTATGATACTCCTGCAGAGTCTTGGCTTTGTTGCTTGGGTAATGATTGGCTTCCTCACCCCTTGTATAGGGTGTTCTGGTAAAGTACAGAGCATTCAATTTGGTTCTAAAACTATTCTTGCTGATGAAATTTTATTTTAAAAATAGTTCAGCTCACACAAATTAAACCGGTTTTCCACCATGATAGTGAACAGCACCGTGGCTTTTTAAAATAAAGCTGTTTACTTATCCAAGGTCCTAGGGTTCTACCAGGAAGAGATGTTTAATTTTGTATTGCTGAATTTATGTTTTTACAATTGGTGTTGCTACAGTAACCTGGATTTTTTTTCCCCATCCTACACTCTGATATTGACCCATTTTATCAAGGGCTTTTAGCAGTGGATCTCCTCGACATAGTACTGCAGTCAATTTGATTTGTAATGTAGATGGGACAAAAACACTTTCAGTACCTTTCATGAAGTGATTGAGACTTGATTCTGCTGCAACAGCAATGTTGAATTACGTTCCTCCCCCCTCCCCTTAGTGCAGGCCTGTAATGTTATATCAGAGCTGTTCCTCAAAATATAGACTTGGATATTATATTGGAGAAACCAGCCTTTTTTCCCTATGCACAGAAGGGTTATCTTCTGAGCAGTGGCTGTGGAATCAAGGGGGACTGTAGTCACAGAAATAACACGGAAGAAGGAGGATTTGCTTCTTGTTTTAAATATTACTTTGTTCCTAGGCCTGGGGAAAAAGGGGTACCTCAGCATCTGACCATATTGGAAGGGAGACCATGGTGTCTGGGAATGTACGTTCTGTCTCAATCCTGGACTCCCCAACATGGATTTTCTCCTGCATTATCTCACCTAAAACAAATGCTTACCTAACCCTTTTAGCTTGAAGGAAGTTAGTTTTGTGAAGATCATCGCACAAGCAAGATGGCAGTTTTGAGAGTTGGATCCATTCATCTTACACTTCTATAATGCTAATCACTGTGGTATAACGATATGTTGCGTGAAGATAATTAATTAGCTTCTCCTTCTTACAACAGATACACTAACAATTGCAGCATCAGCTGATTTACATCCTCGAAGATTTAAATCCGCACCCCCAAACCCACACATACGCACACCATTTTCTAAAAGAGGAAAATAATATAAATACGGTTATTAATGGAAGTAGTGCTGTGCTGAGTTTAAAAAAAATCCAGGAGTACTTTGAATCTACAGCATCAATGGGTTTTGTTTACCTTGGTGAAGTGCAATCATTTTACATTTAGATTGTTATTCTTGTAGAGAAAGTCACTTTAGGGGGTAGCTGAGTTAGTCTGTTATAGAAAAAAAAACAGCAAGCAAATGGTCTGGTAACACTTTATAAACTAACAAAACATGTAGATGGTATCATGATACCATCTACATGTCTTGTAGCGAAAGGGAGGCACAGTATGATGCTTTTGTATTCTGCTTTCAGTTTTCAGAGCTAGAGCTAGCACGCAGTGCCTTAAAACTTCACTTCTATCCCAGCAAGAAATAGGCTGACCTCACTTTCAGTTGTCTTTCATCAGAAGCTTTGTGCAGTTGGTTTGAATAGGGGAAATAAAGTCCTGTAGAAGAAATTAAATAAGATGAAAAATAAAGCTTGCAGTTGTTTAGGATGGTGTGCATACTATATGTGCCTGTGCACAACTGAGCCGTGGCTGGGAGCAGTATACCCTCTAAGATTTTCCATCCATGAGTGGAGTGAGTTTTGTCTTGTGCGCCAATATTGATGTATTGCACTAGTTCGGATGTGTGCCACTGTGGCACCCACCAGTTACTAACAAATATCATGTGTGTTTATATATAATTTTTTGAACGTTATGGAGGAAAGAATACTAAAACAGCCCTTTCCCAGTCACAAAGAATAAAAAAGAGCTGTTAAGTCAGAACTTCCACTCCAGCATCCCTATTATTATGGCTGCCCCTAAGTGCAAATGTACTGTATCGTGCCATCAGTTACAGATAAGGTAAAAAGATCCCTCCCCCCACACACATACACACACATACCTGCAAAGTTTGAACAATACACTGTTTTTCTTAAAGACCTGTGCAGCGCTACTACACAACACCAGTAATAAATGGTGGTGCAAACCCCAAGCAATCAAGCCTCAGGAGAAAGGTTTCAGGAACTTGTGCCCCCAGCACCATCAGTTTTTAGGCAGCTCTAGTCTTCCCTTCAACCAGCACAGGGGAAGTGGGAACTAGAAGGAGAGATGGGCAGGGAAAGGGGCAGGTGTTTACCATGTTGTTTCCATTAACATTTGAGGGCCAACTCAACACATTTTACGGATTAAGTGTCAAAGCAAACCGGGGACTAGACACCGAGGAAAGAGAGAGGCCGTGGGGTCGCTGCCCCCAGGAGCTTAGAATATCTGTTGATTATGATTTATTTTTTCTACCAGGCTCCCTCGTATCTCCCAGCCCTGAGTGTTGGGCCACTCACTCAGTCCAGCCCCATGTTCTGATCTCTCTGGCCCAGGGGCAAAGAATGAGCTGGCGGCTGCTGTCTCTGGGGAGTGTGTGGCAGGGGGCAGCAAGGGGCGAGGCAAGAAGCCGGCGGCCCAATCCGGAGCGGACAACACTGTGTGAACACACTGCCTCCGGAGTAAGGGCTGGGCACTGGTTGCTCTCACTTGTCTCCGACAGGTTGCGCAGCATGAACTCCTTGGCCACCGCTACATCCCGCTCCCAGGTCACATCCAGTGGCAACACCCGCAGGCGGCTTCCCGCTGCATGGTAGCTCCGACCCCTGGAACAGCTGCCCCCTGCCATGTGGCTCTGGTCCCAGCCAGGGCCACCAAAACACCTCCTGCCCACCACGTGGCTCTGGTCCCGGCCAAGGCTGCCAGAACAGCTGCTGCCTGCCATGCGGCTCTGGCTCTGGCTGGGGCTGCCAAAGCAGTTGACCACATGGCCTGCAGATCCCGCCCTGGGGAAGGGCTGAAGATAGGGCCAGGGCCACGAGGTGACTGCCCTGCTGCTCCTGGGGTAGGAGGCAGTCACTTGCCCTGTGGCCTCACCCTGAGCAGCTACTGCGTGACCCTGCTGAGGAGGTGGGCGGGCCTCAAAATTCTTGATGCGCACCCTAGAGGGAATACTGGACTCCGGGTAATGGCCCCGCCCCGGAGCAGCTGAGTAACCACTTACTGTGCGGCCCTGCTGAGCAGGTGGGCAGGCCTCAAATTCTTGGTGCGCGTCCGCACAAGCGTGCACCTTAAAGGGAACACTGGCCAGGAGGACTTATCTAGTTCATTTCATGTTCAGTATTCTGAACCAGAAGGGGTCCTTATAGGGAACAAAGATAATTGCTCCCTTAGGTGGTTCCTGTTTTGACTGTTAAAGAATGCATCAGTGCAACAGAACAGGCAGGAACATGCTGCTTGTAAGGGACCCCAGATGAAAGTAATAGACCTTTAAATTTTCTAGAATATGACCTCAAAAAAGAGATTAACATTATCCCCAAATGTTTATTCTGCGTATGACAGATTCACAGTCAGAGAGCGAGGCTTCTCCTGTGAAACGGCCACGACTATTGGAGGACAGTAATGACAGGCCTGAGGAAACCAGTCGATCCAAACAGAAGAGCAGACGTAGGTGCTTCCAGTGCCAAACAAAACTGGAGCTAGTACAGCAGGAACTGGGATCATGCCGCTGTGGTAAGTACTGGTGTCAGTACTCTTAAAATGCAGCTTTTTGACAGAATGACATTAGGTAATGTTGCATGGATGAGAAAATGTAGCATTAAGCAGACAGTGAGGGGGGGGGGGGGGAGAGAGCTCTAGCTCTAGCTCTAGCTCTACCTCTAGCTCTATCATTGATGGCAAAAGTTACAGTTAGATCTCCACTAATGCTTTGTCCTTTGGTAGAGCTTCTTTTCCAAAGGTCTCAAACCATTTAACATGAATAAATGAAAGTAACTTCATAACTCTCTGTGAGGTAGGTGAATGTTATGCCCACTTTACAGCTGCAGAAGTTTGAAGGATAGAGAGATCAGTGGACTTGCTGAAGATCACACACAAGTCTGCTGCAGAACCTGGAGCAGAAATAAATTTCTTCTGTCCTGTATATACATTACAAGGCAGTTCTTTCTCCTGTATAAGAATTCCATCTTTAAATGGGTCTGTAACTTTAAAAAACAAAACAAAACAAAAACCACCAAGCAATGAACATTTCTATGCTTGATGTCATCCCTAAGGAGACTTTTTCAAAAGTAGAGGAAGTTGTTCAGCTATTTCATTATTTTGGAGGAGGAGAAAGCAGATGCAATTGTCAATATTGCTGGCCACCAACTTTTTATTCAGACAACTCTAAAATTATCAGACTTTGGAACATGGACTATTACACACAAAAGGTTCTTTTTGGAAAAGTGATGGATGTGAGTGGACATTGTGGGGAAAAATTAATGTTTCAGTCACACACATAAAATTGTGTTTGTTGTAATTCATTTCTGATACACTCACTAGACGTGGTTATGGCAAACACAGCATAGTTTTATTTGCATTTTTTTTCATGGCATAATCATGTTTAAGCCAAGGTTGTGCTTTTTGTATACTACACTGCCTACTCCTGTTGATACATTTGGTGAAGCCTGTCTAGCTGTTTTTATGATGCCTCAGTAAGGTAACTGAATGCTCAGAAGACTTGCACATACAATAGCATCCTGAGCCACGTGGAACAATGCACTCTGGGATGTCCTACTCCATAGAAATGAGAGCCAAACTGGTTATGCAAGCATAGTTAGGGGAGCCTATCTTCAGTATGAAATGTCTCTTGAAAATAAATGCTACGAAGACAACCATGTATTGGCTAGAATATGTTTAACTCCCTGGTATTGGGTATTAACCATAGAAGTGTACTGGAATTATGTTAAGAATCAACCAGAACCACTAGCTGCTTATAAAATCAAAATTGTGGTGCAGAGGCTTTAATGGAAGCAGATTGCATGTCCAGAAGTGAGATTTTTAGCAAACTAGTGCAGCCCTGCTCTCTGTGACCTGGCTTGGTATATTTTCTCTTCCAGCATCATGGATGCAGAAGCTGCAGCTCTTAGGCTGTGTATGTCATAGTTTGAATGAGGGAGTTTGTAAATGCCTGCCTGAAATACACACAAATCCTCCTTAACATCAGTGTCAAGAAAATTTTGCAAGTATAAAAATAATTATAATTTTAGTATCAGCAATTTTAGTATCAGCAATTTTTTCTGAATTCTGCAAATTCTAAATTTCCATTTAAAAATAAGTTCTTATATGAAGATGAAGCCATCTCATTGGCTGTCTACATACTGTTGTCCTATCACTGCTAGTTTGGTAGAAAAGTATTTCTATCCAAACAGTAGCAAGTGCAAGTATGAAACGCACACCTCCCTGACTAGGTATCCCTTGAATAGTAATAGAGAAGTAGCCGTGTTAGTATGATCTTGCTAAAACAAAAGGAAAAACTATGTAGCACTTTAAAGACTAACAAGATGGTTGATTAGATGATGAGCTTTCGTGGGCCAGACCCACTTCCTCAGATCATATTCTGGCAGAGAATTGGCATGATATATATGGTCATGCCAGTTCTCTTCCAGAATATGATCTGAGGAAGTGGGGCTGGCCCACAAAAGCTCATCACCTATTAAACCATCTTGAAGCAAAATGCAGGACAATGTAGCACTTTAAAGACTAACAAGATGGTTGATTAGATGATGAGCTTTCGTGGGCCAGACCCACTTCCTCAGATCATATTCTGGCAGAGAATTGGCATGATATATATGGTCATGCCAGTTCTCTTCCAGAATATGATCTGAGGAAGTGGGGCTGGCCCACAAAAGCTCATCACCTATTAAACCATCTTGAAGCAAAATGCAGGACAATGTAGCACTTTAAAGACTAACAAGATGGTTGATTAGATGATGAGCTTTCGTGGGCCAGACCCACTTCCTCAGATCATATTCTGGCAGAGAATTGGCATGATATATATGGTCATGCCAGTTCTCTTCCAGAATATGATCTGAGGAAGTGGGGCTGGCCCACAAAAGCTCATCACCTATTAAACCATCTTGAAGCAAAATGCAGGACAATGTAGCACTTTAAAGACTAACAAGATGGTTGATTAGATGATGAGCTTTCGTGGGCCAGACCCACTTCCTCAGATCATATTCTGGCAGAGAATTGGCATGATATATATGGTCATGCCAGTTCTCTTCCAGAATATGATCTGAGGAAGTGGGGCTGGCCCACAAAAGCTCATCACCTATTAAACCATCTTGAAGCAAAATGCAGGACAATGTAGCACTTTAAAGACTAACAAGATGGTTGATTAGATGATGAGCTTTCGTGGGCCAGACCCACTTCCTCAGATCATATTCTGGCAGAGAATTGGCATGATATATATGGTCATGCCAGTTCTCTTCCAGAATATGATCTGAGGAAGTGGGGCTGGCCCACAAAAGCTCATCACCTATTAAACCATCTTGTTAGTCTTTAAAGTTCTACATAATTTTTCCTTTTTGTTTTAGGTATCCCTTAGTAGAGATTTTATTGTCTGAGAGTGGTTCTTAACCAGGTATAGCACACATTCTGGGGGTATGCAGAGATCTTCTAGGGAGGACATCAATTTATCTACATATTTTCCTAGTTTTGCAACAGGCTACATAAAATCACTAGTGAAGTCAGTCCAAACTAAAATTTCATGCAGACAGTTTAGATGGCTCTATATATTATACACAGAAATGTAAATAAAATATTTATAAGTCAGTCAATTTATTTTATAATCATGTGGTAAAAATGAGACAGTAAGCAATTTTTCAGGAATAGTTATGACAGTTCTCTGTTTTTATGTCTTGATTTTTTTTAAATGAGGTGAAACTTGGGGGTTTACGAGACAAATCAGACTCCAGAAAGGGGTACAGTAGTCTGGAAAGGTTTGAGAACCACTGGTCTAAATGTCTTTGCACTGTCTTGTTAAAAAAAAGTGGCAATTAAATGCCAAAATAAACAAAAGTGAGCAACAATTAAGTTAAAAACTTTTTTAGGGTCCTTCTCTAATTTAGTGATATCTTCATGTTATTAAAGTTGAAAAGCATTTAAATCAAATGCCATTTATATATGTATAACTACATATATATTTTGTATCAGTATAATTATTTCAGGTAGGGATGTCATTTTTTACTGAAACAGTTACATTTGCACGTGTGTGTCTGTCTGCGTGTCCGTTCGTTCAAGTGCACCTCCTGAATGTTAAGAGCTAGGGTCACCAGATTTTGTATGCAGCCTCCTATTCTCCTAACTTAAAGCGAGGGCAGGGTTTGGTTGTGCCAGGCCAACCAGAAGCTCCGGGAAAGGGACAGTTTTACATAACATGAAGAGGAAGGAGCTGCTGTTCGGAGGGAGGAAGTATGACAGTGGCCACTAAGGGCAGTAA